TGCGGGGACATGGGGACACCAAGGAGACATGGGGACACCAAGGAGACATGGGGACACCGTGGGGACATGGGGACACCAAGGAGACATGGGGACACCATGGGGACACCATGGGGACATGGGGACACCAAGGGACATGAGGACGCCTTGGGGACATGGGGACACCATGGGGACATGGAGACACACCACCAACGTGGAGGAGGGCGGTGAGACAGGGACATGGGGACACCGTGGGGACAGGGGGACACCAAGGGGACACTGCGGGGACATGGGGACACCAAGAGACACGGGGACATGGGGACACCACGGGGACATGGGGACACCAAGGGGACATGGGGACATGGGGACACCACGGGGACGGCTGGACATGGGGACACCACGGGGACATGGGGACACCGTGGCGGGGAGGACATGCCACCATCGTGGAGGAGGGCGGTGAGCCGGGGACACGGGGACACCGCGGGGGGACAGGGACACCGCAGGGGGGACCCGGGGACATGGGGACAATGCGGGGGGGACACGGGGACTGTGTGGGGGGAGTGGGGACAGCGGGACAACGGGGTGCAGCGAGCCTGACCGGTGTGTCCCCCGTCCCCTTGTCCCTCCATCCTGGTGTCCCCGTGTGCCCCTGTCCCCATGACCCTGTGTCCCCATGTCCCCATGTCCCCGTGTCCCTCCATCCTGGTGTTGCCGTGTGCCCCTGACCCTGTGTCCCCATGTCCCCTTGTCCCCTGTCCCCTGTCCCTTTGTCCCTCTATCCCCCTTTTCCCTTGTTCCTTGTCCCCCTGTCCCTGTGTCCCCATGTCCCTCTGTCCGTGCCCCCTGTCCCTTTGTCCCTTGTTCCTTGTCTGCCTGTCCTCGTGTCCCATGTCCCCTGTCTCCTTGTCCGCCTGTCCCCGTGTCCCCTGTCCCCATGTCCCCTGTCCCTTTGTCCCTCTGTCCCCCTTTGTCCCTCTGTCCTCTTGTCCCCTTGTACCTGTCCCCGTCCCTCCTGTCCCTTTGTCCCTCTGTCCCTGTGTCCCGTGTCCCCCCGTCCCCGTGTCCCCGTGTCCCCGTGTCTCTTGGTGTCCCCCCGTCCCTGTGTCCCCCCGTCCCCGTGTCCCCGTGTCCCCGTGTCCCCGTGCCCGTGGCAGAGCTGGCGGCGCTGGGTGCCGAGGGCGCCGAGGGGGCCCCGCCGGGGTCCCCGGGGTCCCCGTCGCCGCCAGGGACACTCAGTGACCTGCGGTTCCACCAGCTGCACGGGAGCAACGCGGTCATCACCAACGGCGGCCGCACGGCGCTGCGCCACAACTGCCGCTCCGAGTTCAACGACGCCATCGTCATCTCCAACCGGTGCGTGTCACCCCCGGTGTCCCCAACCACCGCCCGGTGTCCCCAACCCC